ATTTTTATTTTCTAAAATTGTCAAATGAAAGGCAAATTTATTTAGGGGTCGTTTGGAGAATATGAGTTTAAATCTATCGATTGTCAACAATCTAAAGATTTTAACTCTTCGGATTGTTAAAAACAGATTTTAAAATATTTAGTGTTTGGTAACAGTGATTGTTAACATTCAATAAAAATAAAAAAATTAATTTTATATTAAATAACATGTTTATCCTTAATAAAAAAGTTAGAGTGGTTTAAGAAATATTAAAATTTTTGTTGATAAATATATTTCATGTGATAAATAAATAAAAGGAAGAGAAAAACGAGGAGAAAAAAAATCTCACGAATCAAGATATAGAATCTCTCTGATTATGAGAGATTTGATATCTGCAGATTTTAGAGATTTGAAATCTCTAAAGCTAAAATCCACAATACAAAAAGCAACAAAAAAACATAACTTTCTACAAAATCTACGGATTTAGTGAATCCACAATACAAAATCTAATGATTATTTAAAATGTTGTACATGCCCACTACGAGAGTTCAAAAAATAAACATGTTCAAACTTATGTTTAGACGCGCATATAGCAGCAACAAAATATCTCACCCAAGAGTATCCCGAATTCATCAGTGGAGTAAGTCGACATGGTTCGCGTAGTAGCATAATTAGGCAGAGCTAGACAGTAAATATCAAAGGAGACAAATTGACAACATTATTTATATATTCTTCTCGCGCCTACCGCCGTCTTGAACCTTGTTCAATACATTTAGGGGTCGTTTGGAAGTTGTGATTGTTAAATAGATGTATTGTTGAGAATACATGTAGAATATTATACATGTATTGTCGAATTTGATGCATCGTAGAATACAACGTTTGGTATGTGTGATTGTGTATGTTGCATCAGCTAAAACCTGAGACAAAACAATCTCAACTCAACTATCTCAACAATCACAACTAAAAGTTGAGATATAACAATCACTCAAAATGAGTGATAGTTTCTGTCACATCACAGAAACAATCCATGTATTGTTTCTGCTAAAAAAAATAAAAAAATGATGCATTGTAAACAATATATGCATAATGACAATCTCAACAAAACTATCGCAACTTCCAAACGACCCCTTAATTTTTTGCCATAATTATCTCTGAAAGAAAGCAACATAGATATGATAATAACTCGAGTTGTTGGAAAAGGGATAGTTAAGCCTTTGTTTCCTTTCGTTTTGTGATCATGGCGGAGAAGCAAATTAAAGTGGCGAGAAAAAAGAAAGCATGTCGATCGGCGGATAACGTAAAAAAGGCGATATTGGTGGGGTTCAATCCGAAGACGGATTTTTGTTTCACTTTTTTCTCATCACTGCTACGTACTGCTCTATAATAGTATGATGATCAGAATATAATTTCTGGCCTCCCATCTGCTTCTCCATACTCTTTGAATCCCATTAGGCATTATATGTTTGTCCTTCGTGGGGATCATGAGTTTTCAATACGTTAATTAGAAGGGTTTTGCATTGTTTAGTAGGGCATTATTGGTCTATTAATTGGGAGTCCTTAATCACTTGATGATCATGCCTTGATCTTTGTTTTAACAAGAGCTATGCATGACTATATTATTGTTGCTGAAGGTTGACAGGTTTTTACTTAAAAGAGATTCGAATTTGAGATTTCCACCAGGTTCAAAATCGGTGATAATATCACTCGGCCAATCTCTTGTTCGCGAAATGTGGAGTCATCAGGTGCCAAGTTACGACGAAAGGAATTGATCGCGACTTGGATTTCGTATATGTTCATCAGGGCCTCTGGTAAACTACTCTATACATACTCTCATTGATTGGCATTGTGTGCTGCAAAATTTCACGTATACAGTTAATTAGACCTAGCTAGCTAGATTGTTCCCCCTCACAGTCAATTGTTTTCTACTTTCTCTGGATCGGAGTAGCAAAATCGTCGAGGCAAAAGCTCTTGTTGTTGATTCAGATCAGGCACACCAACTGGATGCAGGTTATTAACAATGACTCGAGTTGTGAGTTGTTGGGAGAAGGTTATGCTGGATCTTATACAGACACATGTATGGTACTTAACTTAACCACTTCCTTACATGCCCCTCAAATGAAAGCCGACTCATGGGCTTGAAGTTTGCACAGGCCCGCCATACCATGTGCTTGAAAGACAATGGTTAATATTGGGGGTCGTGATAACTTGAACACGTGACCTCAAAGACAAGCCAGCTCTGATACCATGTCATAAACCAGTTGGTCCCAATAACTCGAGTGGTTGGGAGAAGGTTATGTTGAATCTTATACATGCTAATGTATGGTACTTAACCACTTTTTTACAATACTTGTATGTCAATAATTGTCGCTAGATTCCACGATACAATCTTGATTAGTTTCCTCATAAACGAAGGTCCGTCTGCATTTCAACTTGTCGTTACAACTTATAAGGACACAAGTTACATATGTTTTCATCATCCCTCGCAGACTCAGGGATGACAACTTTAACCCGACCCATTTTTACTCCTGTTTTGCTAGATTTGTGATTTCTCATTGTCCAATCTACGGTCAAGCTTGTTTGAGTTGGTGTTCGAGGCATGATTCATGATGCAGTGCTGTCAAAGCCGAACCGAGCCGGCCGGCCGGACCGCCAAAGCCGCCACCCGGCCGCAAAACCTGCTCGGATCAGCTATTTAGCCGCCACGGTTTAATACGGCGGCCGGCGAGCGGCCGAAGTGGTTAACCGCTCGAGCCGGTCGCTCGGTTCGGCCGGTTAATTAACCAAAAAAAAAAATTTGGAATTGGGCAGCCGCCAGCCAAACAAAACTGAAAACCCTACCTTTCCTTTTCTTTCTCCAATTCTTCGACCTGAACAAAGGAAACGATAGAGGGAGAGCGGCGCCGTCCACCATCGCCAGCGCTTCCGTCTACCATCGCCAGCGCTTCCATCCCGTCGCTGCAAGCAGATCGCCCTCGCCAGTCGCAATCGTCGCCAGTCGCCCTCGCAAGCAGCAATCGCCGTGAAGACTGCCCTGCTCACCGCCGCAAAGAACAGCCGACTCACCTCCTGCTCGAGGTAAGTTTCCTATCAAAAACTGCCCTGCTCGAATGGATTAATGCTTATGTGGCTCAACCAGTAAAAAGAGAAAGAGATATCAAAGCTGTAATTAGTTTGCAAAATCCAATTCGAAGAAAAACTGAAGAGATCGAGAAAGGAATTCGAAGAAAAACTTTCTCAAAGCTGTAATTAGTTTGCAAAATCCAGCAAAGAGATATCATAATGAACTTAAATGAAGAAAAAAAATTAACAAACAAAGCCAAAAAGAAGTGTCTACTATTACAGATGACTGTTTATTAGGTACCGGTTCTCAAACGGTTTTTAAACGGTCTAATGTCGGCTGAACCGCTAATGACCAAGCCGTTCACGTTACCGGGTCATACTCCGGCTCGGCTTTGACAGCATTGCATGATGGACTTTCCTATCCTTTCGTAGCAGGTCAAACAAAAAAAATTTCCTTAATGGATATGGATGGCCCAAAATCGATGGTGTAGAAAAGCCCGCAGCTCGCTGAATCAAACGACAGCAAATCCACCCGTTAGGCCCAGCCCAACCAGAAACGATCACAATATTTTTTAAATTAGCCAATCATTGCCCGCCACGTGACAAGCAGATAAGCCGTTGCCGCTCCACGCACGAATTTGTCGATATTCCTGACGTTACGTGAATAACCCGCGCCTTTTCACCAATCCCCAGCCGCGACGGCACGGCACCGTTTCGCCTCCGCTGTGGATTTCGCGAAACTTTTCGAATCATAGGGCGGTTGGCCCGATTCAGATAGGAAGAAAACGAAACGATGCAACCTTTTCCCTTTTCCTTTCTCGGCAGCCAAGCACCCAATTCCCAGAACGAAAAACCCTAATTCGACGCTTCCCCGATTGCTTCCGATTTGAATCGAATCCGTTAAGTTATTGTTCATCCCGAGATTTCGATTTGTGTGAAATCGTTGTTCTGTTTGTGGGTAAATTTAGGGATTAGATTTTTTTGCTGCATGATCGGGACGAAGGGATTGGAGGTAGGATTAGATTAGAGGTGGAAAGGGGGAATAGCGAGAGAGATAGGAAGAAGAGAGAAGAGAGGATTCGATCAGAAACTATGTCTGCGATAGTGTGCGGGAAGAGATCCTTCTTCGAAGAGTTGAATGTGACAAGCCCGCCTGTTAACAAGAGAATCCGTTGTTCTTCGTCTTCCCCTGTCCGTTTCTCGCCTCCGAGACCCAGCCCAGCCAGCAGCTTCTCCACCCCGCCGCGGGCCCCTGTCGTCAGCTCGGCTTCTGCGCATTTGGTCGAACAGCTCGCCGCTATTTTCCCTGAGATGGACAAGGAGGTAAACTTTTTTTATTTGTTGTCATTGGGTGGCTGGATTGGTTGTTGATGGTTGGAATATGTAGCGTTTCGATTTAGGGATGGTAGGTGACGCCCAATTTTGGTTGCCCATTTCGATGTTTTTGTTTTGTAGCTTCTTGAGAGAGCACTTGCCGAATGTGGGGAGGATTTGGATTCAGCCATAAGGAGCTTGAACGAGCTTCGTTTGGGATCGGCTGATAAGAATTTAGATTCTGATGGTGGGAAATGTGATGGACTCCTTGATGCTAATGGCAATGTTCAAGGTAATGCTCTTTTTCAGACTTTTGTCAGTTTCTGAAAATATCATTCTTGGCTTAATTGGATGTTTTACAATGGTATACATGTGAATGTTGTTGTATGACTCTGCACTGCTCTTTGCTAGAAGATATGATCATGAAAGAGAAAGACTTTGGTTTCGGTTTGATGTATATTTGGTTTGAATGTGTATGTCTTCAATCTGAACCAGCACATGCGTTTAGCTCGTTGGGTTTTAAGATCGATATGTTTGTTCACAACTAGTTCATTTTCTTTATTTTTAAGTGTTCTTCCCTTGCTCTAGTACGCAAGGGAATCAGGAGAAATAAACTGTAGTGTTTTTGTCTATGTTCTATGGAGAAGTTTGGTGTTTGGCTTATATTTTCCGTTTATTAGGAGTGTTTGCAAAATGTATTCTTCTTATTGGTGTTTGGCTTATATTTTGATCTAGTTCACAGCCGCGGTTGTTTGCTCCACCAACTATATCTATTAGCTTCCGTTATATGACGCTAACTTTCATGAGATTAGACATGTTCCAACATTTAAACCATTCGTGACATACATAAACAGATGCATATTGCAACAGTGGACTAATAATTTGTAATGCTTGATTTACTAGCTCTGATTGTTTTTTTATTGGACGACTTCATTGCAGGTGTCGAGCCAACCAATGCTTCAGTTCCCCCAGCTGAGGATCCTTCAATTCCAACACATGTTCAAATGGACGGTGCAGAGTGGGTTGAGCTGTTTGTTAGAGAAATGACTAGTGCTTCCAACATGGATGATGCCAAAGCACGGGCATCAAGAGCACTGGAAGCTCTCGAGAAATCAATCTATGCACGTGCAGGTGCAGAAGCAGTGAAAAACTTTCAATTGGTTAGTTACTTTGATAACTCATCCCTCCACCCCCTTCAATTTTCCTCCTCTCTTGTTCTCTTTCTTGTAGTAACTGTATGCACAACAAACGGTTAAAGCTCAAATGACTTCCCTAGCTCTCTGATATGTTGGTAAATTCGCACTTCGTTTTATAGGAAAACCTAAAGTTGAAGGAGCAAGTCCAATTACTCATACACGAGAACACCATTCTGAAGCGAGCTGTAACAATTCAACATGAGCGGCAGAAAGAGTTTGATGACAGGAACCAGGAACTGCAGCACTTGAAGCAACTGGTGGCTCAATATCAGGACCAATTGAGAACCTTGGAGGTTTGTGGAACTTCTTAACAACTCCATTGTAGATCTATATCAGCAGTATGCAAAACTGCTTTCTGATTCCCTTTCCCGCGCATGGGGTTGTAATTCTCTGCCAGGTGAACAATTATGCATTGACGATGCACCTGAAGCAGGCTCAGCAAAGCAGCTCGATCCCCGGGCGGTTCCATCCCGATGTCTTCTAATTGAGCATACAAACAACTTTGCTGAAGCATACATAATATCTAAACAGACATTCCCCCCCGATGCTCTGCAAGTATGTTTTTATAGTTTGGTGTTTGTCTTGCACAGATTTCAGTTCTTACTTTGATTCTTTTCCTAAAAGGTTGGCCAAGATTGAAACTTGGAAGGCCTATCAGTTATCAAAAGCCTCTGGGATGTGCTTAGGGGTGTGTAGCTCATTTCCGTCTGTACTTTGGTTTACAATTATAGTTTTTTGAAGTGTGTTGAATCATATAAACTTCAGACATATTATTAGTTTCTTATTTGAATAATATCATAAACCCTAATCGGTTTATTTTACACAAGGTCTTAGATTTACCTAATATGTTGACTTGCCCTGATCTGTATTTCGAGCCCTATGAGCCAACTCTTAACTGATTTTGCGCCATGATTTTGACCCTTGATATGTCTAACTAAGAGATAATTGATTAGTGGTGATTGGTGGATTAATCTAATTGTGTTTATGAGTGGTGGATTAATCTAATTGGAAAGATGAGGCCAAAAAACCATGCTCCATTAAACCGTACCGTTCCAACGGTTCAACCACAAAATACCAGTATTGGAGGCTAAACCGATAGGCGGCATTTAACGGTACTAACGGTTGAACTACGGTTAAACCATAGTTTTGTCATAAAATACCCTATCGCTGACTTTTCCAATACGGTCTCCGGTACGGTTTCATGGACCATGCAAAGAACATCAAACACTAAACTCCATCTCCCAATTTAACTACCAAATCCTATTTCTCTTTCCATGTAAATGAACAAAAGAACAAACATATAGTAATTCTAACATTCTCAATTTGTAGCTTTAGAATACCACAGATGGTTGAAATCAAGTAACCAACTCCTCCCTCTCGACCTTCAATTTCTTCCCCTCGCAACGGCCTCGATGAATGAATGAATCAGAACACCGGAAGGAGCTTACCGCCGCCGTTCCTCATCATCGTCCTGAACTCATCGAAATTCACCATCCCGTCGCCGTCGGCATCCACCCTCCGGATCATCTCCTTGCAGGCCTCCATCCGCTTCCCTTCCTTCATCCCCAGCGACGACAGCACCGACCCCAGCTCCTCCACCGTGATCAGCCCGTCCCGATCCCGGTCGAACACCTCGAACGCATCTCTCAATTCATCTCCTCCGCTGTCAATTTTGATTTCCTCTGCCTCCAGATCTGACGCCCTCGCCTCTCCCTCTCCGCCAGCGGCCATGTTTCTACACAGGATTTTGAACTCCTCGAAGTCAATCAGCCCGTCGCCGTTGGAATCCACCTTCGCCACCATCTCCTCCACCTCCGCCTCGGTCACGGAGATCCGGATGTTCTTCAGCGACTCCTTCAGCTCCTGCTTCGTGATGAACCCGTCGCCGTTCTTGTCGAACGTCGCGAAAACGCTCGTCAGATCCTCGTCCGCATCCTTATTACTTCGATCAACCACAGATGCAGCAGGAGGAGGAGTAGCAGGCTCGGATTGCTGCTGCGGCGGCGGCGGGGGAGGAGGAGGAGGAGGAGGAGCGGATTTGAGCTGGAGGAAGAGGGAGTGGAGCCAGGCGCGGAGCTTCTTGGAAGGGAAGTAAGAGTTGAGGTTGAAGATTCCGGCGAGGAAGAGGAGCAGGAGTAACAGCGCGGCGGCGATCATTTTTTGTTTTTCTTTTCTCCGGCTGGATTTTCGGTCGCTCCGGGAAAGGTGGAAGCAGAGAGAGCAGGAGAAAACAGAGAGAAGGAGAGGGAAAGAAAGGAGTCGTTTGTTTTTTTCCCGTTGGAAGAGAGAGGAAAGATGAAGAAGGTATGAAGTGGGAGAATAATAACGCGTTGTATTTGGTATCGTGGGCCTGCGGCCCAACCGACAGCAACAAATTTCTATTTTATTCGCTCCCCACGCACGAAAACGCGTGAACCCGTATCAACTGCAACCGAAATTTCGATCCCGTGTTGGCGGTGCTACTTGTACTTCGGAGTGGTTTGGAAGTTGCGATTGTTAAATAGATGTATTGTTGAGAATGCATATATTATACATGTATTGTCGAATTTAATGCATTGTAGAATACAACGTTTGGTATGTGTGATTGTGTATGTCGCATCAGCTAAAAGCTGAGACAAAACAATCACAACTCAACTATCTCAACAATCACAACTAAAAGTTGAGATATAACAATCACTCAAAATAAGTGATAGTTTCTGTCACATCATAGAAACAAAAAAAAAAATATATGATGCATTGTAAACAATACATGCATAGTGACAATCTCAACAAAACAATCGCAAATTCCAAATGACCCTTCATTTCTTGGTATGTGAAAGAGATTTGACTTTCTTTGACCTAATAAAGGACTTTGGTGTTAGTAGCTCTTGGTAGTTTCTACACTTCTTTTTTTCTCATGGAAGAAACTAGGGAGGGATATTAGATCTATGATTAACAATTTTTTTAATAAACTCAGGTTATTGTGATTAATTGATTTATTACATGATAGTATGATTTGTATATTTTTATAAGGTAAAGTTGGTTTGTATTTGATGTCGCATGTTCAAGTCCTTACGACCCCAATATTGAGGGTTGTCTTACATTACATGATATTGATGGACCTATATATACTTCAATCTTATGAGTTGATCCTCGTTTGAGGAGCGTGTAAGGAAGTGGTTAAGACCAGAGGGGTGCAATGGGTCGGTCCGTGTCGAACTTCACCGGACCAAACCGACACTTGAATTGAATCATATTCCAAAGTGACCCGGTTCTTGGTTCCATGAATTTTATAAATTCTGAATAAAAGTGTGCCGAATGTACTGTTGGTCTAGTCCTTAATTTTAAGATGTCTTTCACTATTAAACCGCGGTTCTAATAAGTTTGGTCCGTTTCGAATCGGAGCACACTTTTGCATATGCACACCCCCTAACTAAGATCCACGCATGACTCTATTCAAACAAATCGAGTTAGTGGTGGAAGAGAGAGAGAGAGAGAGAGAGAGAGAGAGAGAGAGAGAGAGAGGTGGGTTTAGATGGGGCCTGGGGGTGTGGCCGGGTGGGCCTGGGCCTCTAGAAATGGGGCCTAGTTGAATTTGGCTCTGGCCCGCCCATGAGGCTGGTTTTATGATAATATTATGTCAGTTAAATTTATATAAAAGAAACGAATGATATATAGTGGAATTAATCAATTTTAGATTGCAACTTCAACTAATCATAGATACCATGTTTGGTTCTACACCCTAGTTAACACAAAGATGTCCATAAACGTAACTCTAAAGGATTTTGGAAAGTCCATTCCCACCGCGCCCATTGCCGGCTGACCGGTAGGTAGTGAGAATTCTCCAGCTATCTATTCAAAAACTTGGGTGGATGCGAAGTGCTCTTGAAATCAATTCACTTAGCGAGACAAAAGAAAACGAATTTTTTGTGTAGGAGATGAAATTTAAAGATGAAAAGAAATGCCCTCGAAATCAATTCACTTGGATGCGAAGTGCTCTCGAAATCAATTCATTTGAGTGAGACAAAGGAGAATGAAATTTTTTGATTGTAAGAGGTGAAATTCGCAAAGACATGCGAGGAATATTGTGCTAATATGTTACTCATTGAACCATGATCGACTGATCGTATTATTAAAATATCATAAATATGGCTGGAGTTGGATTTAGCTTCATATTTTGCAGGCAGGCCTCCCACTTGCGCCGTACAACTCACCACAACCGCAGCAAATACACAGCCCATACGAAAGAACTGCAAAAAGAGCTCTGTGCTTCAGTTGCCTGACGACTGCCGACTCTCTGCACTAGTCTGGAGAGTTTGATTGGTGATCTTGTGATTCAACATTTCTTCCCTCTTCTTTTTATCTCATTTCATAAATAGAAATAAATAAATAAATAAAATCCTTATTTCAACCTTCATAGATGTGATCCAATAGTATGAATTCAACTATCATCGTGGTTAAAAAAAGTATCATCGAAGAACAAGAACTAGAGTTTATGTAACTTAAACGACCAACCATTATAACCAACGAGAAAGCGCGTAAGGAAACATGTTTTCCTTAGGAAAGACATACTTTATTGTCAATGATACTCAAAAGATCATGCAATTCAAATTGGCAAAGTAATACGGTTAACATCTACTCCACACTCCTTTACTTACTCCACTTCGATATTATTAACCTTTAATCATCTACAACCACACTGCATCAGCGTTTCATTTCTTCTCTAACTGCACAAAAATATACTACTAAAATACATTAAAGAAGCATTCTATTTAAAAAGAAAAATATTATCATTCGTATAATTGAAAGTGCAAGACCTCCTACATGTTATCGGATGTCCCCGAAAGGACAAGATCTCTTACATTGTGAGAGACTTTACAACAACCTCCCCATTGCCATTATTATCTTTTGATTGCATACTTATTTGTACACCTTCCCCTTTTTTTTTCTTAAAATTATCACCAATATCAATGTAGCACCTAGTGGCAAATGTTATTTTCCTAATTCCAGCTAAAATTTGAGGTGTAGATTCGGGAAACGATTTAAAATTGTATAGATTGGCCCCGATATTGAGGGAGGAAAAGGGGCCCACAACCCAACATCATCTTCCCGTTCTGTAGGCCCACTTGCCACTAACATTAACAGCATATATCATCATGTGATCATAATATCTTTATGTTATCCCCCTTTCCATCATCATTTTTAATTTCCTTTGTTCTTTTCCTCTCCCTCCCCTCTTTCTAAATTATATGGTAATAAATGTAAATTTAATGAACAAAAAAGTGTAAGTTATTATAAGAAAATACAGAGTGCCCCCACCTCCAAGCAACATGCAAATATATCCCAACATGTTAGCCTTATGTATAACTTATGAATGACAAATATATATATTGTAAGTTTGTAACTATATATGTAGATCAAATATTAACCTCTCTCTCATTGTCACTCCTTTCTTTATTTCCACATAATTCGGTGACGAAATCAGGGTTTGGAGTGACGAGAGGCTATAAACAAGCGATTGTGTCAACTTTTCAGGATTAAACCTAGAAATTTGGATGAAGATTGAGCCAATAGTGTTCGTCCTATCGCTTTTCAGTGTGTTATCGAGTCTCGACAGAAGAGATATACATGTAAATATAACCTCTAAAAACTTCTCAATGATGTAATGCCTCCTGGACGACGGACGCAGTAGCTCCAACACCGCAAAGCAAGGCCTTTACATATATTGATCACCATATTTTGGGATACCGATAAATCAATCACAAAACATTGAAACAAATCATCCAACATGGACAATAATTAATCACACTAGCTACTATTATTGCATTATTAGTAAAGAAACAACATGAGGGGATTGGTGACCATATACAAACCCATACCTTTGGTTCTATATAATGGAAAGAGATCTTTGTTATATCACATGCACATGCCACCATGTGCATGAGATGGGGTTGCCCTCCATGGTGTCCCTTGGTAATTATTTGTTACTCTCATAATTAAAAATGATGTCAAACCGTGAACGAGAGTTCGATCTAAACGATACTATCAGTGAATTTTAACAAATAGATCTCAAAGTTCCAATTCTAATATGGATCTCATCATTTCAATAAGGGCCCTTCTTTAGGAGCATGTAAATGGGGGAAATTTCATGTAAGGGTATAGTTATAGTTAAGTTTAATAAGTCCAAAAAACATTGTCAACATACATCAGTCAATACCCTTATAATCTGGCTAGGTATGTGTGCTGGAATTTTGTGGGACTACTGCTCCATTCCAAATCCCAAGTCTCTCCAAGTTCCAACCTCTTTTCTTCACATCCAAGTCAAAGTAACGTATGCACGAATGCATATGGTGATATAATTAAATAATAAACACTTTAAAGCTATGTATAAGTCATGTACCAATTGTTATTTAAAGTTACAATATTTGTATTCATATATTTAAGACACCATAAAAAATGGGGGCGATTTGTTATCTTCAACCTGATCTCCTCACTATAATTTCTGACTTTGTCAATAAATGATACTTTTAGTTATTGACATATTGTTCTATATTGAGTTAACAAACTTGCCATCCTAAATTTTTACATAAACGTTGCTTTACTATGTCGGTTTATTCATGTTTCAGCAATTTCCATATAAGAACATAATTAGTAAGCATTCCTTAACCCTATCAGAACATATAAATGCATGAACACAAATTTTAGCGAAGGAACTAGATAACATAATCATACTTGTTTGTTAAGCTTAAAATCATTAGTCCTCTATAGGGGTGGCCGTTCGATTACCGGTTAACCGGTAACCGAAGTAACCAAACTTCGGTCGGTTTCGAGGAGGTTGGACGAAATTATTTTGGGTCTTAAAAGTGGTTCGGTTAACCGATAACCGAGAAACCAAAATCTATTTCGGTCGGTTTTCGGTACATGGGTGGTTATTTTGGTTAACCGATAACCGATCGATCGGTTACCGGTTATAACCAAAATAACCGAACTGCCAGTCTGCCACCCCTACTCCTATACCAAATATATTGATAGTAAGAAACTCTTCATATTTTCAAATAATTCAGTACATATTTTTCATAGCAACCCATATCGCACTCATCCGTCACCGCTAGTAAAAAGGTAGAAATCTTTTTCCTATCTCAATTTTGTATCTTTGGTTGTTGAGACAAGTAAAAAAGGGTGGGAAATTTCTAGATACCACCACATAAATAAGAAGTCAAAAATTGGGGAGAGGAAGTTAACCCTACAAAACTTTCTCAACCTCCCACTTCCTCTTCCATATCTCTCTCTCTCTCTCTCTCTCTCTCTCTCTAAAGCTGCTAACAAAGATTACTCAAGGTATAGACAGACTAGTGGTCCATATGAGATTTTTTCTTCTTCTTCTTCTTCTTCTTCTTCTTCTTCTTCTTCTTATAAAGATGGGCATATGCGAAAGAACCTTTCAGCAGCCTACACTCTCTTCTTCCCTTTGCACCTCTCTTACTCTTATCTTTCTCTGTTCATCTTCTCCTTACCTCCCAACAGAGGAAAACCCAAGTGAAAATCTCGGCTTATTTTACTGTTCATCGAGGGAAATTCACCAATCCAAAGCCCGTGCCATGCTATTCCACAGCTTTCTTGAACTTTCCCTCTGCCTTTATTACCCTTCAATTCCCCACTGATAATGGAGCATGATAATGATTTCCATGGCCGGAGAGCTCAAGAAAGCTGTGGGAGAACATGTCACTCTCTGGGCTTAATTCAGGAACTAGCTAGCTAGCTTCCCACCGAACTGCCATGGTAAAAATTACTGAGCTCTCATCTTACCAGTAAGTTTTTTTTTTCTTCCACTTTTTACTGTGGTGGGGGTGATAAAAAAGGTTTCACCTTTTTGCATTTTTGTTGGTAATTTCACTGATTCGAGATGTGGGTTCGTCTTGGTTTTTTATTTTTGGATGTGGGTTCTCTTCATCTTCCATGAATTCTGCAAGAAATTGGGTGATGAAGTGGGGGGTTATGGATAATTTGAGTGACTTCTGTGTATTTTTTACCAGCCTCACTTATCAAGTTCTGCATCAGAAGGGATCCAATATATGGAAAGGAGAGATCTATAGCTTAGCTGCAGCATCCATGCACTAGGGCTATAGCAGAATTTTAGGTAAGTTCCCTTCGGATCAACACTTAACTAGAACTCTGATGGCTCAATCAAAACAGTGAAAGAAAAAGGGCAACAACAGAAGTGTTTTTATTTATATATATTGTTGATAGTGACTTGAATCGGACTATCAGTCGCTACGACTGGTAGTTGGTGGTCTCGCTGTCCGGTCACCGAGTGGGTTCTGCTTCTGGGCCTGGTTTGTAACCGTTTCCTTTGCCATATTGGATTAGGTTTAGACCCACATGGAGAAGTACTATAAATACTTCTCATACTCTTCTGTAATCTGTAATCTCCTCGGTATAGTGAAACTGGCTCTCTCTCGCCCGTGGACTAGCTAACACACATCGTGTTAGTGAACCACGTAAATCGTGTGTCTGTGTTTTTCGATTCTCGCTTTCGTATTCTTGATTTATCGATTCCGGCGATTTCCCGATCAGTAGCAGTGCGTTTATAACACATATTTTGATATTTTCCTCATTCCATTTTCAAATATGGAAACCTAATAATAAAAGAATGCAATTTAAATGATGGGTAGTTATTATTATTTACAAAAAGAAAAATTGTAGCATTGTGGGGTGGGAATTTTTGCAATGTTGTCAGAACCGAACCGGAGCATGACCTGGTAATGCGAACGGCTCGTACTTTAGCGGTCCAATCGGCATTAGACCGTTTAAAAACCGTCAGAGAACCGGTATCTAATAAACGTTATCGGTATAAATAGTGGACATTTCTTAATCAGAGCTCATCTATTTCCTTCGAAATTGTGAAATGGAAATAAGGATTCAATTTGAGAGCCCGACGTTTTTGGTTTATTTCAATTAACAATTTTCTACAATTTTTTTAATTAAATTTAGTGGCTGAATGGCAAAAACCGGACGATCGGCTCGATCGGCTCGAACGGTTAACCGCCTCGGCCGCTCGCCAACCGCTACATAAAACCAAAGCGACTTTTAGACTGTTCCGAGCCGGTTTTGTGACCGGGTGGCGGTTTTACCGGTCGGACCGAGCGGCTCGGCTCGGCTTTAATAACACTGAATTTTTGGCAGAGAAGATACCCAAAACTTTCCTTTCTATATGTCAATGATGATAGTTCTTCCTGATGGGAGCATTGAAGAGATGATCTTCTTCTAGCTTCTCTTCTTTACCTTAACTTCTTCTTCCTACATTTCAGTGAAAAAAAATAATAAATGGGGTTAAATTTTATTTATTTATTTTTACCTTATTTATTAAATGACATCATTTTTTAACCACTCTTTTCTTTCTGTGCCTAGCTTCTGACATCACTCCATTGCAGTTTTTTTAACCTTCACATCCCTCTCATTCTCTGTCACCAATTCTGTGTTTCTTTATATATATATTTTTTTTTATCTCTTATTTAATTTCTGGGTTTGCTATAGGCAGTCCTTTTGTTGGGATCTCCACAGTGGTAGCTGAGGATGCATGCATCAGGAAACTAATAAAATCAAATATAAAAAAAAACAACAACCATATGCTTGATTTTCTGGTCTTCTAGAACAAAATTGAATTATTTTGTGCTAACAAGTAAATATTTATATTTGGATGTCACTATTACATGCTAAAACCCAAAATTTTCTGTGATAATATGAATTTCAATTTAATTAATTAACACTAACCGAATACTGAATTGTTTGTTTTTACCCATCTTTCCAAATTTTATAAATAAATGAAATATATATGTATTTTTTAAAAAATATTTGATTCTTCTACAGAACAGCAGCTAGCCACATAGTGCCAAATTGTGTTCAGCTACATATATATATACAATCACTCTTGATTGGCCCATGCTGCTATCTGTTCAGAATTGGGGCATTTTACATATAATAATAATATTACACTGTAAAATTAAATATGTATGTGCTCTAAATTAAGGCCCAATCCACTGCCTGCTGCAGAGATCATAATAATTAGGTGATTCCAACCAATGGGAAGTAGTTAAATTCCTATTTAATTTTCTCAACACAATCCAGTTTTTTGCCCCTTTTCTGTGCAATTGAGTTGAGTCCTTGAGGGTGGCAGGTGTCCAAGTCAAGCAATTTTCAAAACCCACTTTGAAATTTTTGTTTTGCCTTAAGTACTTATTATTGCAATCTGAAGCATCATGGGCAGAAGATAGGGTTAGTTGCCTTATTAAGGATATGTTGTCCTTTTGGTTTGGATGGGGTTTAGTGGGTCATAATTGAAGTAGTTAGGGAAAGCTTTGTTAAGGGGAATCTTTTGCTAATACTGGTAATGAAATGTTGGGGGAAGAAGAAGAAAAGGCTTATCTCTTCCACATTAGTGTTTATCCGTTCTATAGGCTATAATTAGCTAGGCCAATAGAGATTAGAGAGAAGTCCAAATTTGTGAATATGTGTTAATATGTGTTTAGTGCAGCTGTTGACAGTAAATTCACTAGCCAGATGGTTAATGAGGAATACCAAAGATTAGAGTTCGTTTTGAGTAGATCGGGATAGGAGTTTGGGAGAAATGTTTAAGCGGATGTGGTTGATTATCGTTGTTTGTTGGTGTTGGATATGCCGACTATCTTTATCTAGTAATAAATTTGAGAAAATGGTAGATATATATATGTACGTGGTTTGATCATTTTTGGTGATGATTATCCTTATATTATCCTTTAAGAAAATGGGTGTATATATATGACCTTGCTGTTTCGACCAAGGCAATTAACTTCGATTGATAACAAGAATGTTTGGAGACACGCGGATTCGAACTCTTTTGTTCGTTCGATCTTCTCGGATTTGGAGGATTCCTATGGAGAGGCGCAAGGTGGCTCCGTTATCTATATTTCAGCGTCCAAGTTAGTACGATATAAGAGATGTTTTTATGTGATTGTAAAGAGAACCACAGAGAGATCGATAAGGTATAGAGAGAACCATCTATGCTTGAAAGTGTGGTAAGGAGAGGAGACTTTAAACCACCAGTGCAAACTTTAAACGCATGGATTGGTTTTCGTTCCGAGTTATTTGAATCAACAGGTTATTGACAGCGGGAAGGATAGTTTGTGGCGGAGGCTAGGAAAGGTACGTACCTGGGAAAAGAGGATTGGCAGCTGATGAAAGGGAAATATGGCTGGTCGTGAGAGATGTTACCCCCTGAAAAAAGCAGTAAATTCATTTTGCCACTTTCTCCATTGGCAGTGGTGGTGGAGAGGGTAAAAGTGAAAGGCAAATGGTGAAAGTCACGTCGCTTTTACATGGGATGATTATGATGCATATACAAAATACAATTTATGAAGAATGGTGTGTGTTTGAATCCCCCAGATATGTTCATATATTTTAACTTGGAGTTGAGACTACATTTGTACATGCGTATGCTATGTAACCCTATTGGAGGTCGTAACAATTAAGTAAATGGTTCGATAGTATGTGTTCAAATCATGTTTCATTCGTTTCATATAGATAAAATCCGATATAAGGTTAAAGCCCAATAGACAGTTTTTCCGGTCGGACCGTTGGTACGATACGATTTAGCAAACACTATGTAATACCACTCGTGTAAAAGGCATCAAAGAACGTATATTTCATCAGCTATACATACTTTAGCGTAAATTAATACAGGAATCTGAGAAATATCTCACGTTAAAATCTACATTTTTACCAAAGTTCCTGTGAAGATCGAAGCAAATGGAGTGAGGTTAATGCTCTAATAATGTATTGTTTTTCTTCAAAACTTTTCCACCGATCGACCTTTAGCTCTTTTTCCTTAGTTCACAAAGCACAAGGAAATAAAAAGAACAATTGTTTTTGTCAACAAGGCAGACAAACTCATTGGTATGGTTTCTTTCCCGGCCACTTTGGATATTATCAAGAGAGGAACAAGCAAACAACTAACTTTTCTAGACCATATAAAATGTAACATTATATGTTTTTTCCTAATCCCAATTTGTTTCCCTTTAAGCATACAACATTAGTGGAGAAGTAAAGGAGATCAAATAATAATGATAAATAATCTCAACCCCACCCTAAAGTGAAAGTTAGCTATGAAACAAAACAAAACAAAACCCACACAGCAAAATGCTTTTCCTTACGCAAGATCTGGAAAAAAAAGTAATCGCGAGATCATCGATCCAAATGGATTCAGAATCGTTTCAAGAACATAGTTGTTTGACACGCTTTCACCAACCAGATGAATTGAAAACTCAGCTTTTCAGTTGTCACTATGTATTAGCTGGCAGCACTACTTAATTAAGGGAACATCTTGATTGGATTAGGTGTGTAAAAAGTTAAACCTAAAGTACTAATTAGTGAGATAGAATTTTGATCAGAAGCTTGCCACCACACCAATTTTGGTTGAGGATGACCTGTGTGGCACAGAAGCAACTGCATGTTAATGTGGGGTGGGTGCCCATAAAGTAAGCAAATTAATTGATTAGGGGCCTAGGTGGACTAGGGTGGGCAATGGTCCGATCTAATTCAGATTGAATTATACCGTGAATTGAATTGGATTGAATTTATTTTGATTCTAATAATTATTGAGTTGTAATTGAATTTTGGTCTGTTTGATCATCAATTTTCCTTTCAAATTGGTCCAATCTTATCTAAATTCAATCAGATTCTAGACCGAATTGACTAATACCTGCTTTAGAGGTGGCCAAAGCTAGCTAGTTAGGTGGCCATACTAATTAAAAACAAAGACTCCAACCAAACCCTCTCGTGAGTACTGTTGCAGCTGTGCTGTTCTTGCTGGCTTCGACCTTTTAACATTCCAGCTAATCAAGTTGACAACCATAAAGAAGAAAGGAAATATATAACCCTAGATAGCAAGTACACATTTTTTTTTTTAAACCATAGTAGACATTATTGGTTTCATTAAATGGCTTTTAGTTTTATTCTGTCGGCCGGCCAGCGGCCAAAAACATTTGGCCGGCGATTGGCAACAGAAAAATGGGATGGGAAAGCTAGAGTTGGTTTTGAACTGAGAATCAATCCCTAGCTCTGTAGAAACAACATGATCTGATTCAGAAACATTTCAGCCCTAACAAAGACAAAAAGGTTTACACTTACCTTTTCTTCTTTAGGTTGATCCACAAAGGGTCTCTTCTTCCTTTCAAGTCGGGCTTGTCTTCAAGCTCAAATTGAACAAAACCCAAAGATCTGCAAAATGAACAAGAACTTACCGTCAGAAAAAGAAACCCTAGCTCTAAACTTGGCCCCCTTGTGTTATATATTGTCATGAACCAGTTGCTCCCAATAACTCGAGTTGTTGGGAGAGGTTCAATCGTGGATCTTTTACTACTCTCTAACATGCCCCCTCAAACGAAAGCCAACCCATGAGCTTGAAGTTTGCACAGGCCCACCATACCATGTGCTTGAAAGACAACGGTTAATATTGGGGGTCGTGGAGATTCGAACACATGACCTTTCGGTTCTAGACTCTGATACCATGTCAAGAACCAGTTGATCCCAACAACTCGAGTTATTGGGATCAACTGGTTCTTGACATATATGATCTAAACTCACAAAAATCTAAATCATCAAAATGGATGTGTTGGGTAATATGGGTTTATATTATCATCTTATATTTTGTAAGATAAGAAAATGTAAGACAGTAAGGAAGATTCACTAGCATGTGAATTAGCTAATTCATGTGCGTGAGAGATATCAGTTTCATTATACTTGAGAAAGATAAACATTACAAAAAGATGAGAAGATATATATAACACTTTTTTGGACGTGTCAACTCTAATTTAACATCGAAAAAGAAAAGAAAGGTTACGGAGCAAATCCATAACAATAAAAACATCCTTGTGACTTCCAATAGATTACATATAATCTGACTTCCAAACAATACAACCCAAACAACAAAATAGAGACTATAGATAGACGGGACAACGGGTGTAGACACAATTAGATGTCATATCAATATCATCCCTTAAATAAAAAGGAAATAATATCATCACCATTATGTACATATCAAATGGAATTTTTTTAATATAATATACAAACAAACAAACATTCAAAAGCTTTATAATACAAATAATACAATTCATCGACCGACCGACAAAAGGGCCGATCGAAGATGTGCCATTATTATATATACATATAAATAAATGAATGGAGCCAACAATACAAGAAGAATGTAGCACTAAATATGCTTTACTAAAAAACATCAACCGCTCACCATCCATTAATCTATCCATGAACCTAATTTGACAGGTCCAATCGAAAAAAAATCTCTTATCAGTGTCTAAATCAATAGATGACTTTAGCCGTATGAAACATGAATTACAATTAAATTATAATTTTAGTATAAAACACTCTGTCGCTAATTATTCAAGTATAACCTCAAGTAACTACTACTTCTGGCTGTCACGCACGAGATCCAGATCGAGCTACTGCACGAGAAAAAACAACACATAAAAAGATCAGAGGGTTGAAAGTAATAACAGTATTCACTCAGAAGGTCTCAGGTTCGAATTCGTCGTAAACCAGGATCTAGTGATGAAGGGCAGATAAAGAGATACCGAATTTTCTTGGAGTAGAGATTCTTCCTTTGGGATTCTGAAGTGCAAAATGGAATCCGACGACTAGCCCTGATTGTATCTTCCCACAGCTTTATTGAACCGCAAAAACTCGATCTGTTGATTTCCAACTATGCAGCTGATTGCAGGGAGGGAGGAGGAGAGATGATGCAGTTCAAGAAAGCTGTGGAAGAGTACAAGCAGAAGCCATTTTCATTGCAGAAAATTATTGGAGAAGAGGAAGAAGAAGGAAAGGGGAAAAGAGTTTTTTTTTTTTGGGGTTGGAGTTGTAGGGTTAGTGAGGGTGTGGAGACGAGAGAGTGAGAGAGAGATTTATAGGCTGGAAAGGAATTCTGATGAGTAGGGTTTTCTTCTATTTTATTATTTTGGGTGTTTTTTTTTATAACCATGGATGGCAGGCCACCAATCCCAAGAAGAATATTGGAAGGAGGGGCTTTCAGATTTACTTCTCTTCCTCTGCCAACAATAATACTAAACCAAAAGAAACCCTACTTCCTTTGTTCCCTCCCCCACTCTCCTAACTTACCATCAATAATAAATGCTAGGTTAAAAATTTAGGACGGCAAATAGTGACATATTCTCGTCATGATAATATGATCATAACATAGTAGTATGATTCGTATCAATGATGGTAAGAGATGCGGGTTTAGCAGATTTTATAACTTCTCGATATTATAAGGTAATTCGGGCCTTAATAAATAAATAAATATTATCCAATCAAATATGAGGGTTTTTTTTTCTCTATTTGGTTATTTATATGTATTTTAATGCTATTTTATTTATTTATTTATGGTATGGTGGATTTCAAGTTTCATCTAGCCCTAGATAGCACCAACCGTTTATAGTGGCAAAATCATATCCAATCACACAGGAAAATGGTGTTGGACTACACAGTAAGAGGTCTCGTGATATATATGGACCCATATTGCGAGTGCAGTAACAAAAAAATATTTTCGGTATAGAGGTTCTAAGGTTCTCTAATCTATCGATTCTCGATTTGGATTGCAACTCATGCCACCACGTACGACTTAGATTTCATAGCAATCAACAGAGCAACAACAATTTTGACAGAGTACTGTGTATTAACGAATAGTCGAAACGTACAAAAAAAAAATGATGACTACGTGGACAAAAACCAAAGGGTGAAGAAGGGGAAATCCTCACAATGCTCAGGAATTTTTTTTTTTTTCAAATTCAAAATAAGATAACAATAATAACATTGAGCTAAAGAAAATAGATGTTCTTCTGTGAACTACAGATTATGATGTGTTGCTGTTGTGGCGTTGCAAGTCCAATGCATAGAGATCGAAATTCGAAAGAGTGTAAGAATAATTAAGCAGAGCATGAACTCGATCGGAAAGTTCTGTTGTGTGCTGGCGCTCGTGTTAAGATACCCAAGCTATTCATTTGCTTTGTTTTGTATGGTTAAACATGAAAAGTGTCATACGATGATTTATAGGTTATCTGTCATTAATTTTCTAATTATTTACACGACACATGGAGGGTCTAAAATATACTACTTAATGGTATATATATATATATATATATAGTATATGATAAATGTTTCCTATTAAAAAATATGGGACGACTCATACGTTGCAAGTCCATGATCTTTGTTTTTTGTTTTTCATTGGGCCAATGACCTTTGTTGTCGTTTCATCCAACTAAGTAGCTTGAGGGCTTGTTAGTTGTATTCAAGGTGAATATTATTACTCCAAACATGGATATAATAAATTCAAACTAAGTAGCTTGCGGTCCTCCGTTTTCGATAATGGACATGCCGAATTTGAAAAGACTCGAGAATTTGATCCAACGTCAACATAATTGTAAACGCGATGCGTGGTAGAAGTTTTTTGCGATTCACTTGAAAAAAAGGTCTTACATTCGAAGTAAGTGGTTACTCGACAATAGCTCCTTTGAGACGTTTAGAGGAATTGTATAGTATTCGATAGTATGGCATCTCTCAACAACTTAGATTACTTACTTTAATTTATTGAAACCAACATTATTTTTTACATGGTATCATAGATTTTCAATGTGCGGTGGTCTTTCTTATTAGATGCATTTGATTGACATGATATTCTACACTCCAAAGTATATGACCATATATATGATTTAGCCGTATGGTATATATCTGGTAAGCTTGGCTTGAATTTGATGGTGCGTGTAAAGGAACAATCACAATTTGAATTATTGAAACCAACAAATTCTTGACATTTTAATTTACAAGAGACAATCACTGCCCTTAAATCATCATCAAGGTAAAAGGTGATCCACCCAACTCATCATCCTTTTGGAATAGGATTATAGCTCACTCTTGGAAAAATCCAGCTCAGAAACACTTGTTACTTGTGACTTGTCCATGTATACTAAGTTACTAACCCTTAAACTAAACAAGAATCTCACAGTTAGTTCAAGCAAGCACACTAATTAAGCGACTATTAAACACCTCACTAATGGGGAATGCGAGTTTGGTTGGAAGTACAATTAGCTAGCTGGCTAGAGGGATTAGTCGAGTACAGATAGGATTAGAGTGGGGTCTTGACTCTTGATTGTGATTAGTCCATTAATTAGGAGGAGGGATTTGGTGTAAAATTCACATGGAAGCATGTGATCAAAGGAGCCCACAAAACAGCAAAGGAAAGAAGAAGAGAACGTGTGCGTAGGACTGAGTACGCCCTCCGTTTATCCCGGGACGGAGGTCTCTTTGTCGTCCTTCTTTTTCTTCAAGCCTCCTCCTTCATTTCAAGGTTGTCAACTCGATTTATTCTGTTGGTTCGATCGAGTAATTGATTTGACAGTTAATGTTCTGATAAAAAAATTGAAAAGGCGTGCGGATCAAGGAGCTGCATGGTTTTTCGATTAAGAGACAAAGGAATGGAGCCCTTCTCACATTCTAGATAGACTAAATTACGAAAGAAAAAAATGTTTGCCCGTGTGCGAGCCACTCGAGAAGCAAGCTATTACCGCGAGCGGCTGGATCTGTGTAGGGTCCCATCCCTGGATACCAGGTGCATGGCAACAAGGAAAGCGGCTAATTGACACTACCTTTGAAGACGCACCATCAAGGGACGCAGACTAGTCACTTGGATACGCTTTCTCGAATGGGGGATCCACCGAAACTTGTATTGGAAAAGTCAGCGCGACATGATATTTTATGCCGAAACCATGATTTAACCGTGGTACAACCTTCTCATACCACCTATTAGTTTCGCTTTCGATATGAGATTTTTCTGGTAGAACCACCAGACAGTACGGTACTTACTAGCTAGCTAGCTCGCTCTGCCTTTCTTTACATATTAAAAAGAAACAGGGAATGGGAAGAAGGAACAAGAAGAAGATCGAAGAAAGAAAGAAAGAAAGTCTGTCCATGTTTTCCTTGTCCCCCCTATGTGCTTTTGTTAAGATCTCTCAACTTTAGTTTCTGTCTCGAAAAACATGGGTCATTTTGTCCCACGAATTGGCCACCCTCGATGATCCGGCAGCTGTGTTCTATAAATATTAAATTGGTTTCAACAGCAAGTGGGTATTCTAAAACTTCCAACAAAGCTTGCTAATTAATCCCACTACACTATTTAAGTGGAGTAGATTGATATGTTTCTTTGGCAGTGAAATATGGTGTACACATCCAAAGCTATCGTTATTAGATGTAGAGTTAAATGTGGTTTAAGCTATACGCTAGTTTCGATTTTTAGAAGTCCTACATATGAATATGAAATATGAATGAACAAAATCTTTGAAATTGATGACAAACGTATCCTTGTAACATACACATCCACGAAGCACCGTAAGGTGTTGATGGACATGTCCTTGTACAACACATAAATAAAAAAAAATTAATAGTTATTATGCATATTTTTGGTTTTCACATGTTATATGTCCGGAAAATTGATATGTTATCTCTCGATTTAGTTATCATGTTTCTAACATCTATAGTATTCTCTCGGTATTCGACAATGCATTCGTGATTTGAGGGTGAATGAGTTTAGTAGAGTACAACGACTAATTGATTGAAAAACTACCATGCATTTAACTCATTTCATCTCCAATTGGCACTTAAGTCAATCCATTCCATTCCAAATATACCACCCTTTATTGGAACAAAGTAGAGTGAATTGGTATTGCAAAGGATGAAAAATCTAAAAATCCAAAGCCCACCCAATTTCAATACCAATGTGGGCTCCAGAAACCCAAAACCATGAGAGAAAAAAACCTAAAATTCCAAAGCCCAATAGGCGGGCCCAGCAGTTCAACCACACCACGACGGCCCACGGCACCATTTCTAAACGCTGTCGTCTCGTCCTCATCCCCTCCCCACATTGGGCCTTAGTTCACGAATCGGATAAAGATCAAGAGGAAGAGACGGAATCCAAATAGGGTTTGTTTATGGACCCGAAAGTCCATACTAAACTGAATTTGATAATTCTCTCTCTCTCTCTCTCTCTCTTTTTATCCCTCTCCCTTATCTCTTCAGATGTAAGGAGAAAGAAGAGTAAAGCGAGCTTTTCCCCTTTCTCGAGCCCTCAGATCCAATTAAGCCCTTCTTCAGCTGGATCTGTTTGGCTCCTCAGCAAAAAAAAAAAAAAAAAAGGCCCAAATCCTTTCGCTCCTCCCTTCCATCCCCAGAAAATCCACAGATCTCTCAGTCTCTCTCTATCGCGGTCTCGACCCTCCATTGCTGTTCCCTCGTGCGTCTCTTCGCAGTCTGTGGGTTTGTTTAGGGGTGGGGGAAAAAAATTGGAAGTATAACCAAAACCCTAGATCTCGCAGAGCCCATCGGAGCTTGGTTGGGCCCCCGATCTTCCTACCTTCCGTCCTCTCTCTCTCTCTCTCTCTCTCTCACAGTCGCGCGAAGATCAGCGTTTCCCTCCCTTTTTTCTTCAATTGTCCGGTAAATTAGCTCTTAACCCTAACTTTTCTCAGCTCTTAATTTGATAGTTTTTGTTCCCCTTTCGCTTTCCATTTTGATTTTGATTGGTTCCGTGTTTCTGTGGTCGTTGAATTGCGTTATTGTTCAATTCGTTTCATTTCTTGAGCTCGTTCCGGTTTTCAATTATGGTGTTCTTGAAGCTGCGCTGTTGCTTCGGGGCCGGCGTTTCCTTTTGGTGTGCGAATTTAACGAGTAGCTCTGTGAATTTCGTATCTCGAGCTTCAGAGTTTTCTGGGGTTTCGAAATTTGGAACTAATTTTTTGAAAAAAATTTGGAGGTAAATGATTTTCGTTTTGGAGGGAAAAACGACGGTCGGCCAGTCAGTTGGCGATGGGTGCCCTTTGTTTGTTTCGTTATCGATTGGGTTTAATCGTTCTTTCTTCCGGGCTTTGTTCGTTCCTTTCTTTCGGGTGTGCTTTTTTTTATGGCTGTTCGGCCGGCCGATGACAAGCCCAACCGAGGGGAAAATGAATTGGCAGTAGATCTGCTTCAACCCTTCGTTGACCCGGCTTAGCCTGCTTGCGAAGCGCTTGCCCACTTTACCCTTTAACTGCCACGTGGGAGCGCTAGTTGTTGTTGCTGTTGTTGTATGTTGTAACTATCGATTATGGGCCTACGCTATTGGTGAACCCTTCTTGGAAGGCCCGATAGCGATCGAGTTTCGTAAGATACTTGCTGGTTGACGGTTGTTCTTCTTATTCATAGAAGAAAAAAGGCGTCGGCTTTAGGCCTGTATGACTAAGACCCGAATGCCTTTCGTATGTGTTTGTCTTTGCTTAATTGCTTCCCTCCATTTTCTTTCTTTTGCTGTTATATGATGGGTTTCTTTTGGTTGCAAGTTAGCGTTAGCATTAGCATGTCTCTTTGGTAGTTAAGCTATTTGTTGGAGGAAACATAAGCTCATGTGGTCTGAACGTGGGCAGAAGTAGTTGGCGATAGCTTATTCATCAAAATGGGGATACTGTGGCTGAGTTATTTGTCAGTTCATTTGATTGCTTCTCGCAGTGGATGTTATACAATCACAATGGATGTTAAACAATCCTTGTCTGTTCATTCACATTGGTCTCATAATGTGTTTGTCAACTTTACTACAATAATGTGTTTTACCATCAAATGATGCTATCTTAATAGTTGAGGGATGTTTTCACTTGTGTCCTAATCTGGGTTCTCTGTGAATACATTTTGCGCATTGGTTGATGATGAGGATTTGCTGCTCACTTACAGCTACAGTGTATTTCATTGTGGTACCTGAGATTTTTGCTGAATGATTGAAGTGAATCTGTGTTTTGTTCCACAAAGCAGGATTTTAATTTGGTGAGAGAGAATGACACCTGCTGAAGAAAGTAGCACTGGACTGTCAGACACTCCAGCTCCAGCTGTTGAGGGAAGCAAGCAGCCCTCGTCCCCTCAAGAAGGAGAAAAGAGTGTAGCAGCCCCTGAAGAGAATAATCAGACAGTGCCATCACAAGATGAGACAATTGTGTCAAAGGAAGAGGATAATCAAAAGGTGGTTCCAAAAGTAGAGGACAACCAAAAGGTGGCGACTCAAGAAGAGGATAATCAAAAGGTGGCACCACAAGAAGACAGTGATAAGATGGAGTTGCAGGAAGAGAAGAACCAAGAGTTGGCAGCTCAAGATGACAAAGAGAAGATGGAGTCACAAGAGCAGAACAATGAATTGGTACCCCAAGAAGAAGATACAAATCAGAAGCCTGTAACTGAAGAAGGGAGCAACGACCAAACAGATGTGTCACAAGATCAGAGTAATCTGACATCAGTCCCAGACGAGCAGAAAAATCAGGAGTTGCCATCACACGAAGAGAACACCCTGGAACCGGTGCTACAAGAAGAAGATAGCAGTCAGAGGTTGTCGCCACAAAAAGAGCACGATCAGACATTGGTATCACAGGAAGAGAACAGTGGGATGTTGGTGCCACAGGAGGAGTACAAAGAGACCGTGGTGACCGAGGCGGAAGACAGTGAGATGGCAGAACCCCCTCAGGAGAGCAGTCAGATAGCGGTGCCCCAGGAGAACAGTGAGATGGTGGTTACAGAAGAGAAGAGTGAGCTGTTGGTGCCCCAGGAGGATCACAATGAGATGGGGGTAACAGAAGTAGAGATGACTGAGGTAGCCGAACCCCAAGAGGATCACAATGTAACGGTGGTGACTGAAGATGCGAAGAGTGAGGTGGTAATGCACCAGCAAGTGAACTGTGAGATTCTGGTGACTGAGAGTGAGAACAGTCAGAAGGTGCTGCCCCAGCAGGAGAACAGTCAAATTATGGTGGCTGAGGATGCGAACATTGATGTGGCAGCCCCCCAAGAGGACAGCACTCAGTTGGTAGTGCCCCAGGAGGAGAACACTCAGATGCCGACATCACACGCCAACACTCAGATTGATAACAGCAGCCAAATGATGTCGACACACGAACACCACATGGTGGTGTCTCATGAAGAGAACCACCACCAGATGCTGATGCCACATGATGAGAACAACAATGATCATATAATTGAATGCAACCATCATCACATGGGCGACCAGCTGATGCTGATGGAAGAAGATAACCACAACAACCAACTGATGATCCATCATGATGATGATAACAACAATCAGCTGATGCTCCCCCATGATGATGAAAACAGCGACCTCGTAACTCCCGACTCGCGGCCTAACAAGCGAAGGAGGAAGAAGTCTGTGGTCTGGGAACACTTCACCATTGAGACAGTTGCGGATGGATGTAGAAGAGCTTGTTGCAAGCAGTGCAAGCAGAGTTTTGCATACAGCACGGGTTCCAAGGTCGCTGGGACCAGTCACCTGAAGCGCCACGTAGCAAAGGGCACATGTCTAGCCTTACTCCGGAACCACGGACATCCTGAAATGCTGACGTATAATAGTACCCCTGGAGGTTCAACTAGCGACCCACCAAAACGCCGGTATAGATCTTCCTCATACTTCGCCTTTGACTCTGACCGATGCCGCCATGAGATTGCAAAGATGATCATCATGCACGATTATCCACTTCACATGGTTGAACATGCCGGATTCATGAATTTCGTCTCAAACCTCCAGCCTCGATTTGGAATGGTGAGCTTCAACACTGTCCAGGGGGATTGTGTTGCTACTTACTTGAGGGAGAAGCAGAACGTGATGAAGTTTATTGAAGGACTCCCTGGACGCATTACCCTTACTCTGGACACGTGGACTTCCTGTGATAGCTTAGGCTATGTATTTATCACTGGGCACTTTATTGATAGTGATTGGAAGCCGCAGAAGAGGATGCTGAACGTAGTGATGGAGCCGTATCCTGATTCAGATGCTGCCCTGAGCCATGCAGTGGCGTGTTGCCTTTCTGATTGGAGCTTGGAAGGTAAACTGTTCTCCGTCACCTTTAACCACCCCGTGGGAGAAGCTGGTCTCGAAAGTCTTCAATCTCTGTTGTGTATCAAGAATACACAGATTCTCAGCGGCCAGCTGGTGCTTGGCAACTGCATCTCATACACCTTGACCAGCATGGCGCAAGAGTTATTGTCAGCATGTCAAGATCTTGTGTCGAAAATCCGCGACAGCGTGAAGTATGTGAAGACCCTCGATTCCCACCAGGCGAAGTTTCTTGAGCTCAAAGAGCAGCTGCAAGTCCCAACTGAAAAGAATCTCCGACTCGACGACCAGGCTCAGTGGAACACGACGTATGAAATGCTGCTTGCTGCTTCGGAATTGAAAGAAGTATTTTCATGCTTGGATACCTATGATCCTCACTACAAGGAAGCACCATCGATGCTGGAGTGGAAGCAAGTTGAAACGATTTGCTCACTCCTGAAATATCTGGTTGATGCAGCTAACCTTCTCTCATCCTCGACCAACCCAATTGCAATCACTTTCTTCCATGAAGCCTGGAAGATTCAAAATGAGCTTTCTCGACTAGCTGCTATCGGAGATCCTTTCATCAACAACTTCATCATAGGACTGCAGGACAAAATCGAGAAATATATCAAAGATTGCAGCTTGGCTTTAGCAGTTGCAGTAGTCATGGACCCTCGGTTTAAGATGAAGCTGGTCGAGTTCAGCTTCTCGAAGATATATGGTGATGATGCTCCTGCATACATAAAGATCGTCGATGATGGGGTCCATGATTTGTTCAAGGAGTACGTGGCGCTGCCTCTACCACTGACACCAACTTACGAAGAAAATGCAGACCCCAATCTAAGGAATGACGAGAACCAGCTCGGGGCAGCTGTGGACAACGGCCTGGCAGATTTCGATGTGTTCATCATGGAGACCACGAGCCAACAGACGAAGTCGGAGCTGGACATGTACCTGGACGATTCATTGCTCCCGAGAGTGGCGGAATTCAGTGTGTTGGGATGGTGGAGGCAGAACAAGATGAAGTATCCAACACTGTCGAAGATGGCTCGAGACATACTGAGCATTCCCGTGTCTACTGCAACAGCGGAGAACGTGTTCGACACTGTGCTGCCGAGAGAGATAGATCGGTATAGAACCTCATTGAGGCCCGAGACTGTCGAGGCACTCGTGTGTGCTAAGGATTGGCTTCGTCATGGGGCGGCTGCGGCAGCAGCAGGTGTTGGACCGAGTGAGTTAGTGGTGAAGATGGAGTTTTAGGTTTGGTAGGAATGTATGAGAGCTTATGTGAGTAGTGATTATGGCTCCTTTCTTTTGTGTATCATTAGTTGGACAGTGTAGTAATGTAGGTTGGGTCCTGGATTTGTAATTTTGGTCGACGGAAGGTGTACTTCATTTGCTAATGGCGTTGTTACGCTTGTGTAGCTAATGGTTAACTCAGACTTAATTTTGTCTTAGTGTGTCTCAGCCTATTGATTTAGACTATATTGATCACTATAAATGTGATATTCACAAAAAAATGATCACTATAAATTTGAGTAACATTAGATTTAGAACTACTAGATAAAACCTACAAAACGATACATACTTTAGTTAAAACTTACAAGTAACAAATACACAAGAGAAAGCAGCAGAAAATTCTAGCATCCTGAACCGATGTCGATTGGAATCTGATTCTGATCCACACTGAATCCCTAATTCTGGTATCCTGCAGAAATGGCGGTCTCTCCCTCCGCAGAACTGAGAGTTCTAAGGGTCTCCCTGATGTCCAGAATCCTGGAATGCGAAAAATCTCCTTTGGTGAACTTTTCAAAGGTATCATTCACTTCAACCATGCTATGGCCTGGCTCTTTCTTCAGGCCACTAACCTTCAGCAACTTCTTAGTCTCTGCGACACCATGCCACTTCTCATCCGTGGCATACAGATTCGACAGCAATACATAAGGCGAGGTAGTCGCAGGCTCGAGTTTCAGAAGCCGTTTACCTAGTCTTTCTCCCATGGGAACTTCTCCATGCAGAACACACGCAGCGAGCAGACTACCCAGCACAATTGGATCCCCGCCAAACTCAAACCTTTCGATGTAATCTTCCGCCTCCTTTAATCTCCCAGCCCTTCCCAGCAGATCGATGATGCAAGAGAGATGCTCCGTCTCAGGAAAGATCCCGTAGCTCTCAACCATGGAATCAAGGCACAGTTGACCTTCTCCCACCAACCCAGAATGATTGCAGGCCGTTAAGAGAGTGAGAAATGTAACGGAATCTGGTCTCATTCCCTCTGCTTTCATGTCCTGGAAAAGCTCAAGCGCCCTGTTTCCAAGCCCGTGATTCCCATATCCAGCGATTATGGTGTTCCATGAAACCAGATTCCGGCTGCAGCCCATCCTGTTGAATGTGTTGTATGCATTGACTATTGAACCACATTTGGCATACATGTTCATAAGAGAATTACTGACGCCAACGTCATTATGCAGCCTTGTCCTGATCAGATGACCATGAATCTGTTTACCATGTTTTAGTGATGCTAGCCCTGCACAAGCAGCAAGAGCACCAGAATAGGTGAAATCATCGGGCTTCAAGTCGTGATGATCAGCTATCATAACTCGGAGTACTCTTAGTGCTCTCACGTGATCGAAGCAATTAGAACAAGTGCTCAAGATTGTGTTCCATGATATCAAATCCCGGTCTTTGATTGTTCTGAAAACTTTCTCTGCTTCATCTATCAGCTTGAAGCTTGAGTACATCCCAATGATGACATTGCCAATGAAAGCAGTAGACTCCAAATTCAGCTTCATTGCTTGACAATGCAATGCAGCACCAAATTGCTGATCAGTAGAATCACTGCAAATTTTCAGAATTCCAGCGAATGTGAATTCGTCCGGGAAAAGACCCTGTCGTTGCACCTGGCTGAAAACTTTGAACCCATCAATGGATTGACCATTATCAGCAAACCCAGAAATCAAAGCATTGTAAGAGACGAGGGTAGGGTCTGAAACCCCAGAGTGGACCAATGACCCATCACTGCACCGACCACATTTCATATACATCGAGATGAGCGCATTGGCCACAAAAGAAATGGAAGTACAACCCAACTTCAAGGATTGAGCGTGAAGTTGCTGCCCCTCGACCAGCGCCGCGAGACCTGCACATGCGCTGATGACACTGGCGAATACATACTCGTTGGGGAGAAAAGAACACATCTGGGAATAGAGTTCCAGTGCCAACCAGTGTTCGGCAACCTGGTCATAGCCAGAAATCATGGCCGACCAGGAAACAAGGTTTCTCTGCGGCATTTCGTCGAACACTTGTCTAGCAGAAGACATCTTCCCGCATTTGGCATACATGTTGAGGACATGGTTGGATACCACCACATCCGAATGGAGGGCGGACTTGTAAGCAACGGCTTGGAGGGCGAGACCTCGACTGTAGGCCTTCAATTTCGCGCATTGATGTAGCAAGAGGCCAATGGCTCCCGTTGTGTGAGACATCAGTCATCCTCGAGTTCTGAAGAAATTAAAACGCTGCTTCTGCTGCTTCAGTCCGTTATCCTTCTCTCCCTGACGATGAAGATAGCCGGTCGAAGAGACCGACGGAAAGCCGGTAGCGGCGGCCGGCAAGAGTAAACGAGACAATAATCAGACAGAGAGAGAGGTTGAAGAAGTGATGAAGAAAGGTAGATGGAGTGGGCCTCTACTGGATGGGCCTTTTGGTGTTTCTTCTGCATCTCATCGGCCCGCAATTGCAAAGCCCAATCGCGGCGAAGCCTATAAAAACAAAGTTAGGGTGTTTCACTTACGGTTCCGCAATCCTTCTCCACAATACAAACGGAATAGCTGCCTGCAAGTTCTCCCCCAAAAGCCCTAGAAAAAGCCAATCCCTTCCTTTCCTTCTGCCTCCATTGCCTCCTCTACTCTGCAACACCCGGAGATCTGTTCTGATTGCCGCTCTCCGCGTTTCGTTGTCCTTCGCTGTTTCTTTCGGTATCTTTTGGAGGTGCTCTTTTCTGCTAATTCGCGTGTTCGTTATTGTTCCCGTTTGTTTTGTTTTGTTCACCGTAGCGGGAAAAGGTCCCGATCTTGCGATTCTTGTTGGCTGATTTCATTGCTGCTGTTTTTTTGATTGGTTGATTGGTAGATTAGTTTGGATTCTGTTGCTTTTGAGTAACGGATGCGTAGGGTTGATGGGCTCTTCGATGTATGTTTCCGATTGTTGTTCTGCGTGATTGTAGATTTGTATTAGGGTTTGGTGTGATATTCCCAAGATTTTGTCGAATCTGGTCTTTCTTGGTAATGGGGTATTGTTTTTCCGATCATCTTTTTATTGCTTTTTGGGGTCTGTGTTCTGAGAGTATTTACTCTTGTCATTGATGAAAGAGGAACCCACAGGATTGGAACCGCTTGTTTACTTACTTCTGTGGTCTGTATGATAATTGGTGCATAAATGTCTTTTACGTGTTAATGCATACTTGATTGGGACTGAGGAGTCAAGAATCCAGTTTGCGCGATTTTGGTTTTCAATCATTCGGGTGTTGGAAAACCTTATCCCTTTCTTGTGCATTTGAAGCAATTGAATATTCTTAATTTTTATATGTCTTCATTCTCGATCTGACTTCATCTATGGATGTAAGTGTTTTCCCTTTCATTTTCTTCAACTTCTGGCCTGACAACTGTTGTGTTTTTGGTTGTTCAGGAGCTTTGCTGGAAGGGTGGCTGCAATCTGCAGATTGTGAAAGTGAGATTCTTTTATGTCCATACAGGCCATTTTCATCCCGGTAGATATTGGATTGCTAGGTAATCGTTGTCTGCTTTCAAGGAAAAAGGAGCGGCCTCTGTTGCATAAAAAAATCAGCTGCATGCATACTGGGCCATTTAACAAACACACAGAACTTCATGGTTGCTTCTGGATGCAACCTTTGACCAAAAGAGTGAAGTCTTTTCTCGCTGAAAGATCTTTGGCAGGCATCAGCAGCTCTTCGTACCCTCTTCAATCCATCTGTTTCCCTCAGCAACTCTAAACAAGTCTGAACTTTGATTTACCTTTGTTCGAGACAAGATGGCGTTGCAGAACATTGGTGCTTCAAACAGTGATGATGCCTTCTACAGGTATAAGATGCCTAGAATGGTTACCAAGATTGAGGGCAGAGGTAATGGCATCAAGACAAATATAGTCAACATGGTTGACATTGCAAAGGCCTTGGCTCGGCCAGCTTCTTATACCACCAAGTACTTTGGCTGTGAGCTTGGTGCTCAATCAAAATTTGATGAGAAAACTGGCATTGCTCTTGTGAATGGCTCACATGAGACTGCAAAGCTTGCTGGACTTCTGGAAATCTTCATAAAAAAATATGTTCAGTGCTACGGCTGTGGGAACCCAGAAACCGAGATACTCATAACCAAAACTCAGATGCTTCAACTCAAGTGTGCTGCCTGTGGATTTATATCTGATGTGGATATGAGAGACAAGCTGACCACTTTCATTTTGAAGAACCCACCGGAATCAAAGAAGGGGTCAAAGGACAAGAAAGCAATGAGGAGAGCTGAGAAGGAACGGCTAAAGGAAGGTGAGGCAGCAGATGAGGAGTTGAAGAAAGTGAAGAAGGATGTCAAGAAGAAGGGCACAACTACTACCTCAAAGGATGTCTCATCCAAGGCTGCAAGTACTAAGAAGAAGGCAAGTGGATCTGATGAGGAACGTGTGTCACCTACACATAGTAATGATTATGAGAAAGAAGACCACGAGGATGATGGTGATGATGACGACGATGTTCAGTGGCATACTGATACATCTGCCGAGGCAGCCCGCCAGCGCATCCAGGAACAATTGAGTGCTGCTACTGCTGAAATGGTTATGCTTACTACCATTGAAACCGAAAAGAAGGCCAAAGAAGCTGCGAAAGCCAATGGCAGCAGCCCGAAAAGTGCTGTTTCTCCTATAGCCGAGGAGAAATCCAAGGAGAACGGGAAGACGAGTTCTACCAGTTCTCCAACCAATGTGTTGAAGGAAAGCATCGGTAAAGGAATTGCTGCAAGCCAGTTGCCCGGTCTTCTGGATTCACTGCCTGGTTCAGGTCAGGAAAAGATGGATGCTTTATTTTTGGCCTTGTTCGATGGTGTCGAGAAGGGACTTGCGAAGGAAGTGGTCAAGAAGAAGAAGTATCTTGCTGCTGTTGCAGCCCAGGGTGGAGATTCACAGCTGCTTGTACTTGGTTCCATCCAGGGTTTCTTTGAGAAATCTGGTGCAGGGAAGGAGGTGGCTCTTGTTCTCAAAGCTCTGTACGACGCCGATGTTCTAGAGGAGGAGCACATTCTGCAGTGGTACGGGAATCTCAGGGGAGGCAACAAGGAATCCAAGATCGTGAAGAGTGCTGAGCCGTTTATTGATTGGCTCCAGAATGCTGAATCGGAGTCAGAAGAGGAGTGATTTGCAGGGGGTTGTTCTGTCAGTTGTCGTAGTCACTGATGCTGTTGTTTGGGGTCGGCAGTTGTCTTGAAGAATAAAGTGTCTGTTGGGACTCGGGAAACGCTACAATTGTGTCTTTTTGTTGTTTCAAACTTCTTTCTTTAATGCCGTTTGGTGTTCGGATTGGAATAACTATTGTGTTTTTGTTTCTAAAGCTATGGTATGTGTCTTGAAGTTAAACATTGTCTATGGGAATTTGTGTTTTGGCGCATCTTATTTCTTCAGCCTCTTCCTCTGTTTACTCTTCTTGATGCTGAATGGTTTGATTTACGTAGGATGAAAGCAAACTTGTTCCTCTATAAGTGTTTTTGAAACCTATCAATGAATCTCGGCTTCACGTGACACTTTGTAACAGCGGGGCCCACTAAACTTGGGAGCCACCTACATTAAATTCGACGCCAACAAGACTGCGCCCCCAGCAGCCTTGTACCTTCGGGAACACCAACGAGTCTCACTTGGATTCGAACCTGGGATATGCAACTCTCAAACCTTCACTGTCACGAGAGGTTTACCGTTAGACTATCATTCCTTGGTAATAAAAAAAAAAAAAAAAAGAAACCTGTTAATTAGTTAATTACCAAACCCAAAATATTTAACTAATTATATGGGGACCATTTACTATGCTAACCCTACAGGAGTTAGCACCATACTAATCATGACTTGTACTAGTCCATGTCAGAGTTGTAGTACTACAATTGCAAAAAACGTTGAATACTACCGTCAAAACAATGACTCCAATTATAAATGCGTCAGATTCATAATCCTACAACTTAAAACCACGACTATAACGACAAAAAAATAACCACAATAATTACAATTATAATAGTACTACTATTATTTACAATTAGCAACAAGGTTGTCAAGCCAGTATCCGGTCGGGCTATTCAATCTAACCGAACGAAACCGATCATATGAATGAGAATCATCGAGTATTATTTTTAAATAAATTGATTTTTAGATTTCAACTTAGAGAATCGGGGCTTAAAGTTTATCCACTAAAGGTTAGAGGATAATATCATGCTCCAAAGTCGGTTTAATTTATTATATGGATGAAGATATCTGATCAATAGAAGTACCTCTAAAACGGGGCCTAAAGTTTCAACTATAGGTTAGGGTATAGTATCATGTGGTCAATCCAATCTCAAGATATCATTTTCTTACTCATGTAGAGGAATTTTACAATGATATATAGCATTGGTGCTATAGGTTTTTGCCTTTATGGTACAACTTGAAATTGTACCTTTAATGTTATGGTACAACTTTAGATTGTACCTAGACTTTTTGTACAAATTCTTTTATGGTACAACTTAAACTTGTACCTTATGTGATGGAACAACTTCAAGTTGTAAAGTTGTACCATAACGTAATGCTACAAATTCCTTTATGGTACAACCTAAACTTATACATTTAATGTTATGGTACAACTTCAAGTTGTACATTAAAACACCAATGCTATATAGTATAGTAGAAGTGCTCACTCATGTAATGCCATACCTTTGATTTTACATACACGTACCTACTATTAATTGTGTCTTTTTCATTTTTTAATATTTTAATATTAGGGGTGATAACTAGGTTGGTTAGCGGTTAACCATTAACTGATAATGCGGTTAACGGCTACCTACCAATAAAAAAATCATTACCATTAGTCGACCTGCCAAACATTAGTTGTTAACTGTCATCGTCGATTCGATTAATGGTTAACCGCCTATATTGTTGAAAAAGAGAATTATGGTATGTTTATGAATTTGGAAAAAGGTAAGGGACATAATTTTCTTTTTATATAATGTATAAAAGGAAAGTGATGGACAAGAGATATCCTTGCGGCACACTCCCTTCTAGGGGTGGGCAATGGGTTGGTCCAAACCGGACCACACCAGATCGCATCGATGTTTAGATCGGACCACACCGAATTGAATATAATATGGTCCGATCCTTTGTCCCTTGAATTTTATAAATACTGAAGAAAATGGACCGAATTTACATTTGGACCGGACCCAAGCGGACCGAATGCACTATTGGTCCGATCCTTGGTCCTAAGTTATCTTTCACTATTGGACCGCGATTCTCTGAATTTGGTCCGATTCGATCCGGACCGGACTGATGCCCGTCCCTACTCCCTTCTTCTCTTTACTCTCGTCATCTCTCCTCTCTCTTGTTTTCTCTGCAGATAAAACGAATCCACTCCCTCTGTGAACCAAGAACAGAAGAAAACACAACCCTTATTTCCTTCACTCTAGAACAGTCAAACCCTAGCTGTCATCATCACTTCTCTCTCTCGATCATCCTCCTGTCGATGTGATTGAGAAGCAACCAAAGAGAGTTATTAGCACGACGACCAACACTTTGTGGTTCATGATAAATCCTCTTCGGCCATCCCTCGTTCTTCGTATTAGCCGAGAAGGCGAGGAGATTGGAGTTAGTGAGTGTAGAGTGATCAACGGCGAAGTTGTTTCCTTCGTTGAGTGTGAGGTTTTGATCATTTCGAGTGGTTAACAATCCTTATCGATTGTTAATTGATAACATCGAAATGGCATTATTTACCTTACATTTATTAGGTGATCTTGTGTTAAAATGATTTTCAATTGTTTTACAAAATGTCATTCGCGTGCCCATTTCATTCCTTTTCGTTTATGATACTGTTTTTGGACGCATTTGACATTACGAGCAAAGATGGGAAGGAAATGAGCAATAATGTGTAGAAGCAAGGAGAAGAACCAGACAATGCAAGGATTGCAGCTGAAGAGCTCAAGTTCCCACCCGCGAAGATAAACCGTGAAGTCTGCCAGAAGATCGCGGGCCAAGGTCGTGAGATCCCGACCGCGAAGTGGAGCACTCCGACCGCAAACTCTGGAAGGATTCGTCGCTGGGAGAACAGAGAGTTTCCCCACTCTCTTCGCAAGCAACGTTGATCCAGACTGAGGAAAATGATCATGTCCGTGACACACAAGTTTGCGGCCGCGATCTTCTATCTTCAGGCCGCGAACTAGCCCGAGATTTTCAGCGCCTTTAAATAGTAGAGTTGCTGGAGAGAAAAAAGGAGGGCCGCCTTATAGTTAGAAAGTTAGGGTTTTGGAGTGTTTTAGAGAGGGAATCACCTTGGGAGAGCTTTATTGAAGATCCAATCAACCCAAAGAGCAAGGAGAAGGTGCAAGCAAGGAGAACAAGCTTGATTCTATCATTCCCCTCTTCTAGTTTGTATTTTCTTCCTCTCTCTAGTGATTGTTTATGGAATATGAACCCGAGTTTATATGTTGTGTATGAATGGGTTATGTATGAATGTGTCTGACTAGTTGATTTGAATGTCATTCTATCCTGGATTGTGTTTGGGTAAGTCGCACAAATCTACTCTATTAGGGTTAGACGGGTATACATCATCAAGCCAATCGAGATAGATGTATGAATGGGGTCCTATAGTGGTCGAGGCGACCGAACCCCTGCTATAGGTAACCTTCCTAGAAAGAACCGCAAATGAAACCTTGGTGTGGACGGTGGATAGTGTCCATTGAAAGAAGCCATGAGCTTAATGCCACAGATACGATAGTCTAGATCGAGGTGACTATATATGGGTTTAGGGGAGGCGTACTTGGTGGCGTGTGGATAACCACGAAAGCCCACAGAAAAGAGCTCACTCACCCCATTCGATTGACCCTACTTGAAAACTATAGCTAGGAGGATGCGACCTTAGGCAACCATCTCACCTCTAGCGGTTTCCCAATCACTTGGTTGCTTGTTTAGGAGTAGGTTAAATTAGTTCAAACCCCTCATCAAACTTTCGACCCGATTATATAGTAGTTCGGAGCAAAGTAATAATAAACTTAGGGATCCCATGGAATACGACTGAGCCACTTTATTATAACCATATCTAGGTTATACTTGGCTTAGTTAGGATTGAATATAAAGTGTGCATTGACTTATAAATTTAAAGCTCGATCGCGTAATAACAACCGATCATTAATCGCTAACAGTATGTTATTAACCATTTGTGACTTGGTACTCCAATAAGGAGTTTTGAGCTTCCGCTAAACTACTCACATTCTCCTTAGTGATTAACGGTTTCACCATTAACAGTCTGTTACCAATGTGGTTAACATTTAAACTGTTAACGACACAACATTTATCACCCTATTTTATATACCTCTCCCCATCACATTTACATGCATCAAGGTAGTTTCTTGTCGGCGCAGACTAGATTTGTATTTTAGGCAATCAATCGATTAAAAAAATAAAACTCTTATATGATTTAATCTTGAATCAAATATCATAATGACTACAAATCATCCAACTCATATCTTGAACTAGATGAAGTTTAATTCGTACTTCAACAACAAATCGATATAGATATTAAAATACTTGTTTGATGAGTTTCACTTGCATTTCTCTAACAAGTGAGATGGGACATGTACCAATAAACAAAAAAGGAAAAGATGAAGAAACAAAGAAAGAGGGGTGAAGAATGGATGGATTAAATTAGGAATTGGTGATTATACTTTTGACTTTGTGGTAAGAGTGTATAGTAATAATACTATTATTGGTTTACCAAAATAGTAAATCAGGAGCGGGATTTAGGGATGTTGAAACTTGAAACATATGGGTAAGTTAAGAAGATTTTTTGTGTGTGTAAGTTAAGAAGATTAATTATATAAGAATAGTATTAATTAATTAAGTAAATATATGAAAAATCAGTAGTCATTTACGGTTCAGGGCTGTCACCAACGAGGCTTAAGAGTCGAAAGAGGCTGCTCGAGGTCGATGGAGGCATTTTGTAGCAAGGACGCGACGAGGGCGTCGCGAGAATAGGTGGGAGAATGTCACGTGTGGCGGGTGACATGGCGAGTGATGTGGCAGATCATGACCAAGTCAAGCACGTGTGGCGTTATGGAAGACCTAGTAGCATAGGATGCTCCTAGGATTCCCCATCTTGAATATGAGCTTAATGGTGCACATAAAGAGCCACATTATGAGGTGGTATAATGGTGTGCATTATGGGGGAAACTTAATAGGGTGAAGTAATGGGGAGGGACCATTATGAGGGTCATTGATGCCTTGTATGAGGAGAGCCTATATAAGGAGCCATCTCCCTCACTTGTAACTCATCCATCATTTTTGTGAGCAATACAACTATAGGGTTTCTCCCATCTTCTTGTGTCTTCTTCTTGTGAATTGAGTGAGTTTGAGAGCTTGTGAGAAGGCTGTCTAGCATCTCTAATGGAATTGAGAGCTAGGGCCACACGACCAAGAGTAAGGCCGTGACAGTTGGTATCAGAGTCTGGTTCTGAAAGAAGAACCGGTGTCCTCACTCCCCAAGAAGGAAGGTAAGAAAGAGCGAGAACCTCACCAAAGATGGCTGGATCAGAAGTCCATGACGATGCGGAGAAGCAACGTGGAAGAGATCCCACTCCGGGCGCAAGGTCAAAAGGTACGTCGAGCACTCGTGATCCTCTCAAGTCTCTAGAGAGGCGAGTCTCGAGGATGGAGGTGAAGCTTTCCGAAGATGTCGCCGTCATGGAGGATTTGGGAGCTAACTTCACCCAAATCCAAGGCGATGTTCAAAGCGTGGCGGCTAGAATGATGAGTTTGGAGGTTGGCAATGAAGGGCTTCGAGATGAGCTTATGGTCCTCATCAAAGACACCATCTCCACCGCCATGAACGATGCCATTGAGGTAATGAAGGAGGCGGTTGCTGCAGAGGTGACCTCCTTGAAGGAGGAGGTTGCGGAGCTCAAAAGCGAGGTGACGCTTGTGAAGAGGGTCATGGCTAACGGACCTGCCATTGCACAACCTGCCTCAAACATGGAGATTCCAAGACCAAAGAGCTTTCAAGGGTCGAGAAATGCAAGGGAGTTAGAGAACTTCCTATGGAGCTTGGAGCAATACTTCGGAGCTTCGGGTATTCGAGATGAGTGTTTGTTCCCAATCATGGTTGTCACGCCGGTCGGCGTGCCACCGGTTGTACCGGGT